CTCTGCTGCTTTTTCACGTGCATTAGCAGGGAGCTGGATTGGAAGTGGAGCAGCTGGGACTCTGTTGTTATTTGTCCAATTTTTGTTTTCTCAAATTATAATTTATTGAAGTATAACATATATACAGAGACAAATACAAAATGTATGAGGGCAGTTTATTGGCTTCCTATGCAATAAGTACACTCAGTATTAACTTAGGTCAAGAAAACAACACTAGCATCTCAACCCTTGTCCCACATTCCCTTCTAGTTAGAAGAGGAAGAGCCCCCTTCTGGCACAGTATGGTGATTCTGGTTGACAACAGTGAACTGTAGCAAGACAGCTGAACTGCTTTCCTTCCAAGTTCTTTTCAGGGCCCTGTTTAAGCATTTGTTTATTCAGACTGTAGATGAAGGGTTCAACATGATGATGACCATGGTGCACATCACTGTGGTTATTGCACTTGAGTGTGGGTTTCAGGTAACAGCAGAACCAAGGTTCACACCTAGTGTCATGTGATAAAGATGATGGAGAGGAGAGAGGCACAGGTGGAGAATGCTTAGTACTTCCCCTGAGCTGAGGAGATTGTGTGGATGGAGGACACTCTCTTAGAGCAGGAGTCAAGGATCCCATTCAGGCGTCTAAAAGACAGTAGCAGAGCTGCGGCATAGATCACCACATCACTCAGAAAGCTGCAGGACAGGCGCTGTGGGCCTCCTGATGCATTTCACAGAAGTGTGAGATTTCCAGGTCTGTGCAGGACAGCCTCAGCACCGTTGAGCTGTGTGACAAGGCATGCAGGACACTGATGATCCAGCACACCAGAAGCAGAGGACACAGAGCCAGGGGTTCATGATGACTGTGTAGTGCAGGGAGTGACAGATGGCCACAAACTGGTCATAGGCCATCACAGCCAGGAGAAAATTATCCAGCTCTGCAAAAAGCAGGAAAGAGAACATCTGGGTGATGCAGCCTGCATGGGTGATGGTTTTGCTCTGCGTCTGGATGTTCACCAGCATCTTGCGGATGGTGGTGGAGGTGAAGCAGACGTCCACCAAGGACAGGTTGGAGAGGAAGAAGTACATGGGCGTGTGGAGGTGGGGGTCTGAGAGGATGGCCAGGATGATGAGCAGGTTCCCAGCCACAGTGACCAGGTACATGGAGAGGAAGAGCCCAAATATGAGGGGCTGCAGTGCTGGGTCCTCTGAGAATCCCAGGAGAAGGAATTCTGAAAGTCATGTGTCATTCTGTATTGCCATGCTTTGGAGATGATGACCACAAATGAAGAGCATTCACACAAGGCAGTATTACCCATGTAGTTGAAATGACACAATTTATATTTCACTGTCAAGAAATTAATTTATAGGGTAGGCATTCGGTCTTGTGGTTAAGATGTTTGTTAGGTCAACTACACCCTGTATGGGAGTTCCTGGGTTCAGATCCCAGTTCTCTCATTTCCTGTTCCTGCTAATGCCCACACTGGGGCAGAGATGATGGCACAAGTACCTGCATCCCTGTCACTCACATGGGAGACCCAGATGGAGTTCCCAGCTTCTGCCTTCATCCTGGTGCAGCACTGATTCTTGCAGGCATCTGGAGAGTGAATCAGCAGGTGGGAACCTTTCTCCCTCTGCCTCTCAAATAAATCTCTATAAATAATTAACTTAAAAAAGAAATAGCCATCTATAGTATGTGTGTGGGTCTGTTCTAGAAGATCATTATGGCATCTTGGACTCTGCATTCCTGCTCCCCTCCCAGCATTTTTCCTCAGAGGTTGCTCATTTCCAAGTGTTAATGGGAAATTCCTTCATGCACTTGAGAACCAACCACATACCAGGAATTTTCTTATTTTATTTCTTTTGGAAGGCAGAGTGCAGTTAGATAGAGGGAGAAGGAGAGAGAGAGAGAGAGAGAGAGAGGAGAGGAGAGGAGAGGAGAGGAGAGGAGGGGAGGGGAGGGGAGAGGAGGGGAGGGGAGGGGAGAGGAGAATAGAGGTCTTCCATCTGTTGATTCACTCCCCAGGTGTCTGCAATGGCCAGGGCTGGGCCAGGCTGAAACCTAGAACCAGGAGGGAGCTTCATCCAGGTCTCTCACATAGATGCAGGGGCCCAAGGACTTGGGCCATCCTCTGCTGTTTTCACAGGCACATTATAAGGGAGCTGAATTGGAAGTGGAGCAACCAGAACTTGAACCAGAGCCCATATGGGATGCTAGCACTGCAGGTGGTGACTTAACCCATTACACCACAATGCGGGACCTGAAGGTACTTTCAATGTAATGTGTACAACATGATGATAAACAAAACAAAATCCCTGCAATCCAGTGATGGAGAAGGAATATTAACAAATTAAGAAAAATTACACTTGTCAGATGGTGATAGTACAATGAAGAAAACACAGGTGATGAAAAGCAGAGCGGGTGGTGGTGCTGTCCAGGCAAGACCAGCTGTCGTGATGTTTGAACAGAGACTTTAGGGGTGACACAGCATGAGCTACAATGGTTACTCTGGAAGTGTGGATTTGGGAGGGGTTAGTAAGTGCAAAGGCCCTGGGGTAGTGCTTGCTTCTGGAAAATCTGGGCTCTAGGGGATGCAGCTGGAGAGGAGAGTGAGCAAGAAGGAGAGTGAGAAGAGACAGCATCAGGAGACATGGAGGAGAGGCAGTGTGAGAAGAGACATCAGGAGACATGGAGGAGTGAGGTGGCCTCTGTGTTGCTGATGCTGTGAGATGCAGGGAGGCCTTACCCCCACTGTGCCTCCTGCACCTCGTTTTGTCCTGTTGAAAAGAATCCCTTCCTTGAACCCTCTGTGGATTCAGCACTGGTCTCTGTTGGCTCAGAACCACTCCAGAATCTTTGGGCCTGGGGCAACCCACTCTAAGGCCTGATCTCATTCCATGAGGTGGTCACACCATGTATATGTGTGCATACAGTTACCACACATATGCACATAAATATAGAGACACAAAAACAGAGCATCTCCACACACATACACACAGGCACAGACACATGTACACAAAAACAGAGAGGCACAATACACCATGGCCTCCTGAGCCATGTCACCTCTCACCCCCAGCCACAGTGACACAACTGGGAGTGTGTACAGGGATTTTTCTAGACACTAATGAAAGTGCATGTTAGGAAAATACTGTGCATATGTTTCCATATTGTTTTGCATCAAAATAAACTCATCTTTTAATTCCATTTTCCATGAGTTTTTGAAGTCCCCTGATAAATGCATTTATGCAGAAAGAGATACAATGAGAAGTCGTAGAATAAATGAGAAGTCGTAGAATTAAAAGAATGCAGGGATGGGGCTGGCACTGTGGTGTAACAGGTAAAGCTTCCGCCTGCAGTGCCGGCATCCCATATTACGGGGGGGGGGGAGAGGGAGAGAGAGAGAGGGAGAGATTGATTGATTCCATCTGCTGGATCGCTCCTCAAATGGCTGCAATGGCCGGAGCTGGGCTGATCCGAAGCCAGGAGCCAGGAGCATATTCCAGGTCTCCCACATGGGTGCAGGGGCCCAAGGACTTGGGCCATCTTCCTCTGCTTTCCTAGGCCATAGCAGAGAGCTGGGTTGGAAGTGGAGTGGCTGGGACTTGAACCATATGGGATGGTGGCATATGGGATGCTGGCACTGCAGGCAGCTGCTTTACCTGCTATACCACAGTGCCAGCCCCATATAATAACACTTTTCTTTTAAAGATTTTATTTATTTGAGAGAGGGAAAGGTCTTCCATCCACTGTTCACTCCCCAGTTGGCTACAAAAGCAGGAGTTATGCTGTTCTGAAGCCAGGAGCCAAGATCTTCTGGGTCTTCCATGCCAGTGCAGGGACCCAAGCACTTAGGCCATGTTCCACCGCTTTCCCAGGTGCATCAGAGAGCTGGATGGGAAATGAGAGTTCCTATAGGAGAGGGCAAAGCAGAGGCTTTGCCTACTATGCCACAGTGCTGGCCCCCATAATACTTATTTCAAAGCTACTCTAATTGGTATATTTATAGCTCAATTGGAGTCTTTATAGCTGTCCTGTGTATTGGAAGCGGAGACACAAGGCAAGGAACTCAGATATAAGGTCACAGATATATTGAACAAGATGAAATGAAAAATGACTCATGTTGACAAAATATCTCCCAAAAGACAAGTGAAAAACAATAACCTGTAAAATCAATTGAAATGCTGATGATTGTATTAAAATGGGCATGTGATATTTGAGCACACAGTATGATGATCAAATCGCTCAAATTCAGTAACGGTTAAAGGAAATGAGTAGAGATCTGTTTAAAACCTGTCAATGTATGGGGCTGGCACTGTGGTGTTGCAGGTGGAGCCACCGCCTGCAGTGCGGACATCCTGTAGGGGCATGGGTTCGAGTCCCTGCTGCTCCACTTCCAATCCAGCTCTGTGCTAAGGCCTGGCAAAGCAGTGGAGGATGGCCCAAGCTCTGGCCTTTGTGGCCATTTGGGGAGTGAACCAGTGGATGGAACACATCTCTCTTTCTGCCTCTCCTCTCTGTAACTTGGACTTTCAAATAAACAACTAAATCTTAAAAAAAAAAATCCATCATCCTGGAGGAAAAACTTAAGGAGGTGTTGCTTGGACTGGGATGGGGACTTTGTCATTTCCCTGGTTCCGATGTATTACATGGATTTATGACACTGATGGCTGGTGATTTGTTTGAGATGTGTTATGGAGAAGTATCTGACCCTTTGAAGACAGCCACACTGCTCCGTCCATTTCACCCCTGATGCTAAAACAGCTGGTTTGGGGAGTGTCCAAAACTAGCTGGATCAAGGGACATTCCAGAGCCCTGAGCAGCTCCCACCCTGTGCTTCAGTTTGATGATGGTAGCATTGTACAAACAGTTTGACTTTAGGATGGCTTCATATACAACAAAAGCCCAAAGATAAAACAGAAGGGAAAAGGTTAGTAACAGATGATGTGAATTTGCTACTTCTAACTTTGGTCATTTGTTTTGGTATTCGAAGAAAGCATACTTAATTTCTCTACTACTCAAATTTCTTCTAATAAGTATATTAAAAAAGGAACTACAATAAATTTGCTGTCCAGCTAACTAAGAGACATTTAGTAATTGGAAAATTAACTTTTGCCAGTGACTGGGAAGCACTGTGAATCCCAATTTGAATAAGAGAACAGTATTCTAATGAGAACAAACGCAGTGACCAGCTATGAAATGCACATCGTGTTAAAGACTACATCATTAGGAAGGGCAGTTTAATGTTGTGATATAGAAGATTATGTTGGATTCACATATTAAAAACTGTGTATTCAGATGTTCATAACCTAAAAAATTACATAAATAGTCTTAGTTGTCCAGTGTAGTTTTGTACATAGAGTAATCAAATTCATGACTGTTCCTTTAGTTAAATGACAGAAAAATAACTCAGTGTGACATAGTTTATCTGAGAAGAAATTAGTCCTAAGAAATTCATGTGTTCTATTTTGAGTGGAAATTTTGAAGCACATAGATCTAAGGATAGAATAAACTTGGAAAACAGAAAAGAATGACAAAGAAAAAGAAGTAGATATTAGAAAGAACAGACAACCTAATAAATAAGTTAGTTAAATGTTGCAGAGACATTGATCTCAACAGAATGGAAATTATAGGATATAAACAGAAGAAACAAGTTACACTTGTATCTAATCTCATCAGTAAGTCACAATTTCTGGATCCCAGGATTCTATCTCCACAATCAAGAGCACTTCTACTGAGATGGGTCAACTGATAAATTTCTGGTTTCTCTCATAAACAATGTCTTCAAGGCCCTCTTAATATCTTTATTCCTCAGACTGTAGATGAAGGGGTTCAGCATGGGGGTGACCACGGTGTACATCAGTGAGGCTGTTGCAGTTGAGTGTGGGTTTTGAGTAACAGCAGAACTAAGGTACACACCCAGGAGTGTGCAATAAAATAAGGAGACGACAGAGAGGTGAGAGGCACAGGTGGAGAATGCTTTATACTTCCCCTGAGCTGAGGAGATTGCACGGATGGAGGAGACGATCTTAGAGTAGGAGTACAGGATCCCAGCCAAAGGACCAGCAGCCAGCAGCATAGCGGTTAAATAGATGACCATGTCATTCAGAAAGGTGTCAGAGCAGGCACTGTGGACCACCTGGTTCAGTTCACAGAAAAAGTGGGGAATGTCCGGGGCTGCACAGAAAGACAGTCTCAGTGCCAGGAAGCAGTGTGACAAGGAATTCAGGACACTGATGATCCAGCACACCAGAAGCAGCAGGGCACAGATCCGGGGGCTCATGATGACCGTGTAGTGCAAGGGGTGACAGATGGCCACAAACCTGTCATATGCCATCACCGTCAGCAAAAATATGTCCAACCCTGAAAACAGCAGTAAAAAGTACATTTGGGTGATGCAGCCTGCATAGCTGATGGCTTTGCTCTGCGTCTGGATGTTCACCAGCATCTTGGGGACGGTGGTGGAGGTGAAGCAGACGTCCACCAAGGACAGGTTGGAGAGGAAGAAGTACATGGGTGTGTGGAGGTGGGGGTCTGAGAGGATGGCCAGGATGATGAGCAAGTTCCCAGCCACAGTGACCAGGTACATGGAGAGGAAGAGCCCAAATATGAGGGGCTGCAGTGCTGGGTCCTCTGAGAATCCCAGAAGAAGAAACTTTGAAAGTTGTGTTTCATTGCCAGGTTCCATGAGTTTGTTATGACTACAAAACAGAGAAGAATATGACATAAGCATGTGTTATTCATCCGTAAGCGGTATCATTTATATCCTTTAGTCAAGAAGTTATTATATATTTTGTGCAGGGATCCAGTGCCTTTAAGTGAATCCCAGTACCTTATCTAATCAGGAATTCCTGTCCATTTCAACTTCTGCTCAAAAGGTCATCTTTTCATATGTAATATAAGGGAATTTTTGAGTACATCTGACTCAAAGATGATAAGTTTTTGAACTTAGAAAAATGAGAAAGGGAAAATCATGTTAGATGCAATAAGAGCCACAAGCAATTTCTACTGACATTTTGGTGAGAAATTACTTCATGTTTTGAGGCATATAAATCGAATATGGACCTTGTTCCATTGCTGTCTGGAAAATGAACAGTGCAGGAAAAAATGTCCTTACAGTAAAACAATGAAGAACAGAAACTCACAAAAAAGTCATGTGTTATGGAAGATGAGAAGTGGTATAATGAGAACAGCATAAAAACGGAGAGAATGCATGAAGGGTGCAGTTTTTACAAGGAGGAGATGTGACAGAAGACTGGGTGGGAACCAGGAGGCTCCCTGAAAAAGTGCACATGGCAGAAGGAATGGCCCATGAGAAGGCCCTGCAGCAGGTGCATGTTTTTCTGTGGTGAGGGGATGGAGAGAGAAGAAGGATGAGAGATGAAGTCAGAGAATGGTGAAGAATGAGGTGGCCCAGCTGATGCTCAAGCTTGACAACACGGGAGCCCCTCAGCCCAGCTGTTGTGTCTGCACCTTGTGCTGACTTGATTGGCTCCAACAACGTCTCATATCAAGATGGGTTTCCCTCCTCATGTCTGCATATTGCCTTGAGTTCTGGCCTCTGTATTATGAGTCATACATGGAATGTATTTAGTCCAGGTGCCTTCCTCTTATCCCTGCTCTCACCTCTAAAGACACACACACACACCCTGAAGCACAATGAGGACTCAGGGCTGTGTTAACACCATTCTCTTCTCACACCACGTACAATGTTAGGAATGGATCCCAGGGAAACTCGGCATCAGCTTCTCTTTCCTTTGTGTGTGTATATGTGTGTGTGTGTGTGTGTGTGTGTGTGTTTGTGGCATGTTTCTTCCTCTGTCTAAAGGAACATTTTAAAAATAAACAAAAACACCTGTGCAGTATACACAGAGAAGGGGATCCACTAATCTCAAAGGAGAAGAACAGATCTAATGAGCTCAGGGGACTCCTGAGGGACCAAGAGAAGCAAAAGCTTCCTTGGTCACAGGTAGGTTTGAACTCCATTACATCTCCTTGCACCCAGCAAGAGCATTAAAGAGAGAAGTGAATTTATCTGAAAGGCAAAAGTAGTGACATCTCTTTTTGTGGAGAAGACATTCACAGAGTGGAAATGGTCCAATACAAAAGAAAATATGCAAAGGGAATATCAACAATTCAAAAGTAGTAAAGAACCACCAGATCCATGCAGTATTAGATTTAGTAGATTTGTTTTTCTGTGCCTGTTCCTCATTTATGTGAGCTGTTCGTTCTTGTATGGTCTGATGATGAATAACAGGTCCCTTTCACATTTTCCTCCAGTGGCACCTTTTTCATGTTGTTCTTAGCTTTGCAGCATAATGTAATTTCATTTGTGACAGATCCAATGGACATGCACACCTAGTTCTCATCATGGTCTAGCATGCAAAACCTCCGCTGATGTCACTGCACAAAATCCTACACACACCATGGCAGTGCTACCCTTTTAGTATGAACAACATCCTCCTGCATTATTGAGTCATTGAGGACTTTGTGTCAGACGCACAACTACTTCATCATCCTTGGTCTTCACTGTTAGAAGTCAAAATCCAAATGAGCAGGACCATACCTGTTGTGAGACTTGTGCATTTTCACAAAGGGCTGTGAATCCATGTGCATCAGAGACAAAATGTCATGAAGATGATGAGACGTCATGAGTTAACCACAGTGACAGAGGATAAAACCAGGAGAGGGGCTGGCGCTGTGGCGTAGCAGATAAAACCACCGCCTGCAGTGCCGACATCCTATATGGGTGCTGGTTCAAGACCTGGCTGCTCCACTTCCGATCCAGCTCTCTGCTATGCCCTGGGAAAGCAGTGGGAGGTGGCCCAAGTCCTTGGGCTCCTGCACCCATGTGGGGGACCCAGAGGAAGCTCCTTTCGGCTTCAGATTGGAACAGTTCCAGCTATTGCGGCCAATTAGGGGAGTGAAGCAGTGGATGGTGGAAGACCTCTCTCTCTCTCTTCCTCTCCTTCTCTTTCTGTGTAACTCTGACTTTTGAATAGATAAAATAAATCTTAAAAAAAGCTAGGTGAGATGGCATACTTTCAAAGTAGCAGTATGACAAAAATGAAGTGAATCATTGATCATGAACTGAAACTGGATGCAAATCAACGGCAATTAAATTATTTCAGCATGGGTTAATAACATTTTCAAAGACCTGGATACAAGATAATTTAATGTATAATTGAGTTACAGATATGTAAACTTATCACTTCATCTGTAAAGATATGTAGGTTGAATACATTTATAAAGGTGATCTATAGCCACAGGACAGTCAAGAATGCCTTCCACCTAGTGACCTGAGGTAATGTGACTTGCAGAATGAATCTTTCAACAAAGTGCCGAAGGACTAACAGAGATGTAAAAATAATGTGCAATATATAGAATAGGCAACATACTGACAACGCTGAAGAATTTTTGAACATTTTAAGAGTGGCAAGGGCAACGTAATTGGACTGATGGCTAGACTTGCCCACTCATGATGAATACACGTTCATACAATCCTCCACATATGTCAAAGAGAAAGGGGCAGAATAATAGGGGGCAGCATTGGTAAAACTTCTGATTCTTACATTTTAAATAATGCAGTACATGAAGCAGGACTAAAAACACTATGCATGAAGCAAAAAGCACAGAACTTGGACTGACAATAGAGAAAGTAAATGATGACCAAACTCATACACGTTTCCAGACTCACCCTTAAGGAAATAGTTGCAAGTAAAGCTCCTTAGTGTGTACCCTTTATAACCCATTAAATAATGTCTGTCTTTGGAACACCAGGCATGAGGGAAGATGGATGCAGAATGTGCCCCTCAGGCACTGCTGTTGCAAGGCTGTGTTAGTAAGAAATCTATGGTCTTATCCTTTTCTTCAAAATGTAGAAGTGTGTTCAAGTATGTCCCATCCTGAAGATAATATCTGTATATCTGTCTGTGGTAATACCTAATGTCTGTATTCTCCATCATTGCAAAGATTCTCGTTCTTAAATTCTAAACTTCACAGCTTCTGTTCCCTGCTCTTACTGGGATTCTGTTACCATCACTTCAATGGCAGCAGTTGCCCTGGCTTGCTGAATTCAGTGGATGCTCCTCTTCCTAGTATCATAAACAAGCACAATAATGAATTACTTAATTCAACAGGTGCACAAACAGCCATCTTTCATTTGTGGGCTGGCATTGATTGACTCCCCCCTCAATGAGCTTTCTCAGCTCTTCCTGTCTCTGAACCTTTCCCACAGCACCTGATGACCACTTGGGCTCACCTGGGCAGCATCTGTGAGGAGAAAGTCTGCTTGGATGGTTGGTGGAGGAGAATGAGGCTCTAGCCCCAGACAAGACAGCAGGAAGGAGTGAAGCATGTCTCACCCACATCTCCTTTAGGTCTCCACAGTTTTATAAGTCGTGTCTTCTCAGGTGCATGGTGGCAGGAGCAGAGGAGATGTTTACAGCGACCTGAGTCTTCTCCCTGGGGTACAATTCCCTCTTATTTTTCCAACTCTTGGGCTCACCTTTTCCCATTGGGACTTTGCTTTGTGTACCGAGCAATTGTTTTTTCTTGCAGATTCTCTGCTCCCAGGAGACCAGATGTAAAACCAGGTGAATCTAGTTTTTATTGCTCCTTCTCAAAGAGCTCTCATTTTCCAGAGGTGTAACCTCCTCATGCCCTTATTCCAACCCTCAGTTAAAGGTTTCTTCAAAGTCTCGAAGTAAGGATTGTGTCATCATCATGTCCCTTGTGACACTAGAGCACTGACTCATAATGCAGACTCACCCCTGTTAACTTTAGAACATCACTAGTCCCCTGTTCAACAAGGAGGAGAGCCATATTCCCTTGATAGGAAACCATTGATGCTATGGCTTCATGATGCTTTGGCCAAAACAATGTAGAGCTTCATGCCAATAACACAATCAAAAGCTGCCATTTATATGATGTTTGGCTATAAATAGAGGGTATTTAGATTGTGCTTTGCACGTTGGCCTTAAAGGAACAACTTGAAGGATTCTCTCATTTAATTTTTTTTTTAACCAAAGCCTACTCTATGGTCAGCACTGTTTGTAACTTGATGATAAGTTTGCAGTGATATGGCTCTGAAGGATTGAGAGATCTGCTCAAAGTTGTAAACCAAGTAGTGGGTGGGCTCCTATGGGCTTCCATCAAGATATCTCCAGCTTTGATGTTGCAGCTCTACGCTCTTTGACCAGGGCTGAGTTTTCTGTGAAAGAACCATGAGAAATAACCTGAGGAATTTGGTCATTACCTCTGTGTAGGTCCTTCTGGCACTTAGTAGGTATAGGCATGGAACGCTTGTCAGCATCCCTTAATATATATAAGAAGACCCCAGCCCCACAACTGACTTAGGACATTCCCCAACACTGGTTGGAGGAGTTGCTATAGAACCCACAAAACTGGATCTGTCCACCCAGTGTGCACAGAGCCAGTCCCCAATAGCAGGGTGGTAGAAGAAAGGCTGTGCAGGTATTGCTTAATTCTAGGGTTCTCTGAGACATTAGGGGTGAAGATTCTGATGGTATGAAGTTGGGCTTGGAGGTGTGCATCTAGTTCATGTTCAAGGTGCTGTTTGCTTGCTGGTGCTTGTGGTTTTCCTTTGCTTGGCTGGTGATCCTGTGTTCTGTAGGGAGTTTTCATGATGGCCAAGAAAGAATCAGTCAGCCAGGGAGCTATATGCAGTGGTTATTACTTTCTGCCCTGGACCTGGAGTTCCCAGAAAAGAAAGCCCCACAAGACAGTACTGACCATCAAGTCAGAGAAGCAATCTCCATACTGTATTCCACAGTGGCTGTACCAGTTTATATTCCCACCAATAGTGGATTTGGGTACCTTTTCTCCCACATCCTTCCAGCATTTGTTGATTTCTGTATGAGAGCTCTTCTAACTGGGGTGAAGTGAAACCTCATTGTGGTTTTGATTTGCATTTCCCTGCTGGCTAGTGATCCTGAGCATTTTCTCAAGCATCTGTTGGCCATTTGATTTTCCTCTCTTGAAAAATGCCTGTTCAAGTCTTTTGCCCATTTTTAAACTGGATTGCTTGTTTTATTTTTGTAGAATTTCTTGGGCTCTTTTTAGATTCTGGATGTTGATCCTTTATCAGTTTTGTAGTTTGCAAATATTTTCTCTCTTTCTGTTGGTTGCCTCTTCACTTTGCTGAGTTTTTGTTTTGCAGTAGAAGCTTCTCATCTTGATATAATCCCATTTGTCATTTTTGCCTCTTTTTTTGAACAGGCAAAGTTAGACAGTGAGAGAGAGACATAGAGAAAGGTCTTCCTTCTGTTGTGTCACCGCCTACATAGCCACTACGGCCGGCGCGCTGCGCCGATCCGAAGCTAGGAGCCAGGCGCTTCCTCCAGGTCTCCTATATGGGTGCAGGGCCCAAGCACTTGGGCCATCCTCCACTGTCTTCTCGGGCCACAGCAGAGAGCTGGACTGGAAGAGGAGCAACCAGGACAGAATCTGGCACCCCAACTGGGACTAGAACATGGAGTACCAGCACCACAGGCAGAGGATTAGCCTAGTGAGCCACGGTGCTGGCCAATTTTGTCTTTGATTTCTTGTGCTTGTGGGGTCTTTTCCAAGAAGTCTTTGCCTATGCCAGTGTCTTACAGAGTTTCTCCAATGTTCTTTAATAATTTAATGGTATTGAGTCATAGATCTAGGTCTTTGATCCATTGTGAGTGGATCTTGGTGAAAGGTGTCAGGTAGAGGTCTTGCTTCATACTTCTGCACATGGTGATTCAGTTTCCCTGCACCATTTGTTAAAGAGACTCGCTCCAGGGATGGATTTTAGCTCTTTTGCCAAAGATAAGTTGGTTGTAGATGTATAGATTGATTTCTGGGGTTTATGTTCTGTGCCATTGGTCTAAACATCTGTTTTTGTGCCAGTACCAGGCAGTTTTGATTACTATTGCCCTGTAGTATGTCTTCAAATCAGTTGTACTTTGATTTCTGTAGTGATTAGTGCAACAGTGTTCTTAAAAATATTGACTACCCCAAAAAGCTTTTGTTGATGTGAGCTTTCTTTATTGACATCATATTAATAGCTAAAACTGAAATAATTATTGAGCAGAACAGATTTTGCAAGAACACTTGACACTGTTTATGATTACTACATGTACACAAAATTTTACATTTTTGTGGGGTACAGTGTAATATTTCAACTCATGATACAACATACAGTATTGACATCAGGGTAATTAGCATTTCTGTTTCCTTTTTGTAAATGAAAACATTTATTTTTACCATAAGAAACTATGAACTAGTATTAGGGAATAGTTAATGAAAAGCAGAACTTAAAGTTATGATAGGAAGATTGTACAGTATGAGCATTATAGTATTGGAGCAAATGAACAACGTTAAATATGACTGACAGGTCAGAGGAAGCCAGTGATGTTCAGCTGGCATTTAACTCTTCAGAATATGCATGCTTTGGCAATACCTTGCTCAGTGTTTAACCATTTTTAATCTTTGGTACAGCAGGAAAAAACATGGCATTTCCTCATAGTGGTTGTGTGGGGGATGTTACCACTAAAATGATAACTGTTTAAAATATATTTTAGTCTTAAAGAAAATGAAAAAAGATGAGAAGACAAGATGAAAAATACAACAAAAAATAAAGAAAAAGGGGAGCTGGCATTGTGATGTAGCAGGTAAAGCCACCACCTGTGACATCAGCATCCCCTATAGACACCGGTTCCTGTCCTGGCTGATGCACTTTTAATTCAGGTCCCTGCAAATAGCCTGAGAAAGTCAGAAGAAGATGGCCCAAGTGTTTGAGCCCCTGTCGTCCACGTGGGAGACTCAAATAAAGCTCCTGGCTCCTGGCTTCTGCCTGGCTCAGCCTTGGTGGTTGGGGAGTGGAAGTGAACCAGCAGATGGAGAATCTCTGTCTTCCTCTCTCTCTCTACCCTGACTTTAAATAAATGCATAAATCTTTAAAAAATATATATATATATATATATATATATATATATATATATTAGGGGCCAATGCTGTGGTGCAGTGGATAAAAGCCCTGGCCTGAAGCGCTGGCATCCCATATGGGTGCTGGTTCAAGACCCGACTGCTCCTCTTCTGATCCAGCTCTCTGCAGTGGCCTGGGAAGGCAGTAGAAGATGGACCAAGTACTTGGGTCCCTGCACCCACATGGGAGACCCAGAAGAAGCTCCTGGCTCCTGACTTCGAATTGGCTCAGCTTCAGCCGTTGCAGCCATCTGGGGATTGAACCAGTGGATGGAAGATCCCTCTCTCTCTTTCTTTCTCTACCTCTCTCTGTAACTCTGTCTTTCAAATAGATAAAATAAATCTTTTAAAATCTATCTATCTATCTATCTATCTATCTATCTATCTATCTTAGTCTTTCAGGTTTATAGCACCATTTTAAAGTCTTTGCTTAACTGGGACATTTTCATTTTGTTATTTAACAAACTACTGTTTCAAATAGTTGCTGTCCCAAATATTTATTGGAAATTCAGAACTTGAGCAAATATGAAAGAAGAAAGTAAGTTCACAGCCGGTGCCGTGGCTCAATAGGTTAATCCTCCGCCTGCATTGCCGGCACACTGGGTTCTAGTCCCAGTTGGGGCACCGGATTCTGTCCCAGTTGCCCATCTTCCAGGCCAGCTCTCTGCTATGGCCCAAGTCCTTGAGCCCTGCACCTGCATGGGAGACCAGGATAAGCACCTGGCTCCTGGCTTCAGATCAGCGCCACGCACCAGCCATAGCACGCCGGCTGCAGCAGTCATTGGAGGGTGAACCAACGGCAAAAGGAAGACCTTTGTCTCTCTCAGACTGTCCACTTTGCCTGTCAAAAAAATAAAAAAGAAAGTAAGTTCACATGGCCAGAAAGCTGAGTATAAAATGGAACCCCCCCCCCCCATTGCAAGTTTTTAAATAACACCTTGCTGCAATTCCTATTACAGTCAATACTGAATTCACCCCAAGGGAGTAATCCACATGAACTCTGAACTTTGGACAAACTCTGGAAAAACTGAAGACCATCAGATGCATGCAGGTAGGAGTCTCCTGAAAAAATTACAATTTAATTTTCCAGTGTTTGTCCTCCCAGAAAACTCCAGAAGATAACCTTTAGTGGGCACAGAGTTTAACTTTCGTACTTGGAGTTTGCACAGAACACAATGGCAATTATTCTGGATAGATTTCCATTACAGAATTGATTCTGGTTTGTCATAATAGGCTTGTGGAAGCCACCAAGTTTTATTCTGACAAACTTAATTTGCCTAGCAGTGGAATTTGAAAGGCTGCTGGCATCATTATCATTCACGTTGGCAGGAGTAAGGATGTCTGACTGCTGAGATAGCATTAATGAGACTCAGATTTGCACTGAGAGCATTTCAGAGTGCACACTCTGGTCAAAGTGTAATATTACCAGTGTCTACACAGAAAGGAAATGGATATTGTGATTCCAAAGATCACAGCTTCTTTGAGTATAATTTCAAGTTTTCCAAGGGTTAGTTTTACAAACATAGTTTGAAG